CACACACACACACACACACACACACACACACACACACACATCTGAAGAGCAGCTGTCACCAAACAATTTGTAAAAAACTATCCCACACAGACTAAAAATACGGGCAGCCTGCACAAAACCTTGTGAATAAAGAGAAAGGACCCAGGCCAAAAGTATGGCAAAACATAAACTATTAAAATCCTTTATTGGGACTGGGTTGAGGACTCACAGGTCTAGCATGTGAGAGACCCCATGTTACATTCACAACCTTACCTAAATAAATAAATAAATAAATAAATAAATAAATAAATAAATAAGCCTTCTTGTGGCATACCCAAATGATGTCACATGATTCGATTATTGTAAATACATTTTCATATTTAGAATAGATACCAGAGTGTTTTGCTGTAATGTGTTACAGAAGTGTATAATATAATCCCATTTCCTTCAAGCATGTGCTATGTGTTTAAAGACACTATTCTGGAGGTTAGAGGTCAATATTGTGCTTACTAGGTTTATGTCAGGTTGAAATTAGCTGGAGTCACATGAGAGGAGGGAACTTCAACGGAAAGCCGGTAGGGCAATTTCCTAATTAGTGATTGATATGAAAAGGCCCAACCCATTGTGGGTGGGGACACCTCTGGACTGGTGGTCCTGGGTTCTATAAGGAAGCAGGCTGAGCAAGCCATGAGGAGCAAGTCAGTAAGCAGCTCCCCTCCATGGCCTCTGCATCAGCTCCTGCCTTCAGGTTCCTGCCCAGCTTGAGTTCCTGACATGACTTCCCTCAATGGACTGTAATTCAGGACATGTAAGCTAAATAAACCCTTTCTTCCCCAAGTTGCTTTTGGTCATGGTGTTTCAATAATAACCCTATCTAAGAGAAATGTCAGTGGTGGCAGTCTCTTAGCAACACAATTGCAAGAGACTTATATTTCTCTGTACACCGGCTGGGATTTATAGGACTTTTCTCCATGTATTAGTTCCCAAGTTGGAGAAAGACAATAGTGAAATTTCAAAGAACCAAAGATTTCTGTGTGTAACATATACAAAAGTGTTTTGGTCAGAATACCTAAAACTAACGAAGTTGTTCCGTGCTGCAGAGAAGGGTGCAGATTAAACAGATGTTGTTCAAACAGGACCTTACTCTAGTTCAGACCTGGAGCCTAAGTGGAGGAGCTCTGCCTTCCCTCATCAGTGAAGGTCCAGTGGGGCCTACAGATCTAACTTCTCACGCCAGTGCTTACGTGTCAGAGAGAATGCGAATGTTGTAGGTGCCACAGAAGACATTCCTCTCCTCCATCTGCACCAGCTGAGTTTCCTGGTTCTGGTATGCAGTCCACAAGTTGTAATCATTCTAAAGAAGAGATAGTTGGTGTCAAAAGTGGCATGGATTTACCTGGAGTCCTAGCTGCACTGCCGCCAACCCCGGTCTCCTGAGGACTCTTCCCTTCAAGGATGCACCTGCTGTTCAGGGTCGATGGGGAGATAAACAGACACAGAAGTTACCTGTGAGAGAAAACACTAAGATGAGGGTGCCAGTTCATGTTTCACCTCTGACTTTTCTACAGTTCAGCTCTATGTACTTGCATGGCTGAATTCCAAGTGTTTCCTGGAGTGTAACTTTACAGAAAATGAGTTCACAGGAGCAAGCTCATGTGGACATGCACACACAGGCATGCTCACACGGACAAGCTCACACAGATGTGCTCACACAGAAATGCTCACATGGGCACGGTCATACATCAAATTACAGCTGCCTTTGACCAACCATCTCACAAAATTGAGATATTGTATTTATAGTCCAGGTACCCAGTAGCACAGAACACACCAAAACATCAAACACATGTGACACAATGCTGCACTTGGTACATTTGAGTCCAGTGCTCATATACACCTGCCCATCATTATCCTTGCAGCTGACTCACAAGGTGGACCACTTGCCCACATGGTAACTCTCATCACCTTACAGGTGACATATCTGAGACTCAGAAATGGAAAATGAGTTTCATCAAGTCTCAGTAGGGGTGATTGCCTTTGCTTCTCATTTTTCCTTCTTCTCTTCTTACCACCGTTTCTTTCCCCTTTCCTCCTTCCTTCTCTCCAGCCACTCACCTTTCTGAATGGCTCCAGCCTGTCGAGCATGAAAAATTCTGGTATAGAAGACTGAACTGAACTGCCACATCCTTTCCTCCCCCAGCCCTCAAAAAGCTGGAAGCAGCCACACCAGACTTGTAGGAAAGAAAGTGTGAGACTGTCATGAGAGCAAAGACGACAACATCACTTGTGCACCAGACAGGCCTGAAAACTTCCCCTTTGAAGCTGATTTCAAACTCAGCGTCCTCCCATGTCCTGGACTCTTTCTCTGCTCGCTGTCCCTGAGCTTTAACCACACAGAGATGCTCACCTAACAGTTTTGCTCCAGAAGAACCTGCACACTTGCCTTATCTCCAGGGCCCATGAAGCTTGTTAGACATAAAAGAGAAATAGCCTTAGCCAAGA